TAAAATAGTAACTATAATAAAATCCTTAGTTTTAATTGTATTAATTTAACTAAATTAGTCAACGTTAATTTTTTGAGTTATTTTTAAAGTATTTAAAAATGATCTAATAATTTTAACTTTTTTTTTTGTTATGAAATAGAATGAAATTAAATATTTAAAAAAAAACAGAAAATACTAGAAACTAAATTATAAGTAAAAAAAATATTAAATATCAAATTATAATAAGTATCGAACTATAATAATTTATTCAATAACTTATTATAAAAATTATATATAATATTTAAATAAATGTGAAAAGTGTTGAAAGTTCATAAATATTTTAAGTTAGAAAATAAAAAAACTCATGGGATCAGTTTCTTTTAAAACTTCAACTAGCAGATTTTAACCTATTTGACAATTGTTCTTCGCCATTACATCTCTTTGTTAAGACTTAAAAACAATAACCAACCGGCACCACTTATTTAGGAGCTTCAATTTTTTTTAATAATAATGTAATTAATAATAAATATGCTAAATAGTAGAGTTTAATGGTAAAAAATTAAATTTTACGTTGTTAAACTTTATTTAGAATCATTTTTTTAAGAACTTGGCATAAAATACACTTAAAAATATTTTAATTAAAATAACAATTAATCTAGTTTTACTCAGATTTTAACTTAAAATTCTTAATCTTATCAAGTATTTGACAATTTTCCCCCCGAAAGTGTGAAAAAGTCAATAACCAAATACTTCAATCTTATTATCCACACAAGCACACAGCCCGAGAGTTCATGCATGGAAGCTTCGTACTAAAATATTTCTCAGTATGACATCCCATAAAACTTGATTAAGACTGAAGAAGATTTGATTTAGAGCCGAAAGCGTCACTTTCCATGTCCATCGAATCGTTGAACTGTGGATGGAAATTGAATTTAAAACCAACTGCACACTTTTCTTCAAGAATTTGATTTTGATATTTATGGAGTTTCAGGCTGCTGCTTTTTTTTTCCCTGGTCTACCATTTGACGCAAACAACTCTCCTCCAATTTGTTTTTATTAATTTAGTGATGTCAAAAGGGATTGTTGTTATTATTATGATTGTTATAATTACATAATTGTTGTCTGAGCTTGCAGATCAAATTTCCCATTTTTAAAACTTGACCGTTCGTGGAGATATACATATACTTTCATATACTTCTCGTATCCCCACGTCCTAGATCTCAGCAACCCTAACATGAACCCGCTTTTCTCTCCCCTCTTTTCTTTTTCTCTTTTTCTAATCTACTTCTCTTGCTTCCACAGTCTTGCCTCCTAATCAAGATTCAACCTTCCTTTTTTAATCACATTTATTGCTTATAAGAGTAAAGACCCATGTAGAATATCTAGTCTAAATCCATCTCAATCTTGCCTCTTTTACATTTTTGGTTCCTGAATGGATTTTTTTTTTTAAAAGGTGTTTAGGGGTGAGTTCAGAGAAATAATATTTTGGAGTATTCTTCCTTTTAATCTTGAGGCCTTTTGAATTTTTAAAATTCTTCAAGGGGGAATTTTTCAAAAATGAGGAACCTTTTTCTTTCCATACATGATAAGTGGTGCATTTAACGTTTTATCCTTTTGGCCTCAAAATCTGATTGTCCTCTTCTGTTGGATGAATATGACAAATTCCTGGGTATAAAATTATGAAATCTAAATATAGGTGTTGGTTGATGCATTTGCCAGATGTTAACACTCTACATTTGCTTCTGCAGTGTTTGAGTTCCATTTGCTTTCTCTTTGGGTTACATTTTCTTTTTGCTTTGAGTTATGTGTAAGAAAGAAATTTCTGGATCTACGGTCAAGAAAATTCAGAAATCCTGAAAATGGGTAGGTTGGTTTTTCTCTTTTCTTCACATTTATAACAAAAATTGATCTTTTCTTTAATCAGATTCTCCACCATATTCAGTTTCATTACCTTTACCTTTTCATTCATTTCCCTGAAAGCTATTCCCATTCTGTGTTTTCCATGCTAAGTTAGAGCTTTAGAAAGTGCAGAGAGAGAGAGAGAGAGAGAGAGCGCAGAGGATAGCAGAGAGAGAAAGTAGAGGCTTTACCTTGTGTTTTCAAATGGGGCATTCTGCAGTTGTGTGGGATCATAGAGCTGCAATTGAGATAACAAAGGATTGGAATGGCGTTGATCAGGTTGTGCTTCGAAATCCACACGGGGCTTCAGCAAGGGTGAGATTTTGGGTTTTTTTTTTTTTTAATTTCATTTCCTTTTTGAAATTTGTTCGGTTTAAGTGATAAATTTGACCTACCCATAACAGGAATGCTTTCAGTTTATGCGAGATTCTATTGATGTTTCTCTTTTGACTATAAAGGTTAGCTTGCATGGAGGTCAAGTCACCTCATGGAGGAATGAGCAAGGGGAAGAACTGTTGTTCACTAGTACCAAGGTGCAGTTTCTTCCAATTCCCTATGTATTGTCCATGAGAATGACTTAGATCTTCCTTCATGTAATCTCAAACTAAACTTAATACTGTGTCAATATTTTGAGGCCTTCTCTGATTTAATTTTGATTGGTATTGCTGATTTTAAGCTGGCAATTTCTTTTACCACAACCTAGGGGTCTTTATTCAGTACCCTTTAAGCTGCAAGAACACATTGTTTCTGGTGCCAAATATAGATTAACAGGAAACCATCTATAGTAAATGATTGCTTGACTGAGCAAATCTGTTATTGGGTTCTTTTCTTGATTGCAGGCCATCTTTAAGCCACCAAAAGCAATGCGTGGAGGAATCCAAATTTGTTTTCCCCAAGTATTTAAATCTTTTCTATTGTGTCAATGAATTCCACTTTCGAATAGAAATCATTGATGGTTTTCCTCTTTTTATGCTTGTTTGAAGTTTGGAAACTGTGGGCTACTAGAACAACATGGATTTGCAAGGAACAAGATTTGGGCAATTGATGATAATCCTCCACCTCTGCATCCAAATGATTCAGATGGAAAATCTTTCATTGACCTAATGCTTAAACCATCTGAAGAAGACTTGAAGTTCTGGCCCCACAGGTATAAGTTGCGGCTCTGTCAACTTTTTGTTGAATTTATCAAACAAGACAACAAATACAATTGTTAAGACAGAGGCACTCAGAACTTGATGTTCTGACTTCTTTGTTTTTGAAGAAAAATTGATCTTTTCTGTTGAATGAAAGATATGTAGAGAATAGTTCATGAGATACTAGTTCTATATTTATCAAAATGACTACATGTTTATCCTATGCCTTTACGAAGCTCAATCTTTATTTTTGTGTTTCTAATGTACCATTTCTTTGATTAATTTTGGTAGTTTCGAGTTCCGCCTTAGGGTGTCGCTCACTGCAGATGGAGATCTGACATTTATATCACGAGTGAGGAACATCAATGGCAAGCCATTTAGTTTCTCATTCGCATATCATTCGTATTTGTCAGTTTCTGACATAAGGTATGGAGTTATTTTCTGAACCTTCAAATTATTTGCTTCCATAATCCTACTAATTAAATTCCACAACACTTGAAAGTTAGATGTTAAAGAGGAAAAGTGTGAGGAAAGGTGGAATTTTCTTCTCTTTAGAAAATTGAGAAAACTTGACTAATCCAGAGAACCTACCGATTATTAACAGCTACTGCCATGACTTTCCCTGTTCTAATACTGAGAATTTTGTTCATGATATAACATTTGGACTTAGAGGAATGGATTTATGTACACAGTGAAGTGAGGATAGAAGGGCTGGAGACACTTGATTACCTTGACAATCTCTGTCAAAGGGAGCGGTTTACCGAACAAGGAGATGCAATAACTTTTGAATCTGAGGTAGGTTTTTGGTTTTTGTTATTTTTTTTACATTGTAACTGGCTCGATGCTGAAAATGACAATTCTACAACACCTTCGGGTCGGAGAAAGTGAGAAAATGAAATGGTTGCTATTTGTTGTTAAAATCTCCCTGCTTGACCTTCACGGTTCGAGAGGATTTCTTCATCTGTTAACTTTCTAACTCAATTTCTTGTTAATTCTTGATGGCAAGGTGACTGACAGTTTTTGTTCTCTAGACAGAAGTTTAGGGATGAAATAGCATGAGAAAAAGTCAAATCTCTTTTTTAAATTGGATGAACTTCTATTAAATTCCATCTAATCCTTGAGGGGTAGAGGGTAGAATACATTTTGTAAAACTGAGGAGATGACAGGTTAATTTGGCATTTTAATGTATTTAAAACTTGTCCTTGGCAAGATTGTATTTCACTGATATTTCGTTGTCTAGCAGGTAGATCGAATTTATCTTGGCTCTCCTAAAGTGATCGCTGTCCTTGATCATGAAAAGAAGAGAACATATGTGATAAAAAAGGAAGGACTGCCAGATGTTGGTAAGCAGCCATAATTTTAAATATCCGAATTTCAATCATAGAACAAGTTATTAAATCAGAAAATACTGCAGCATTGTGAAATACGAACACTTGCTGGAGAAACTAGATTGGGTAGAAAGCAAATCATAAACAGAACTTACAATGCTATGTCTTCTTTTTTCCTGCATTAAAACAGTTGTATGGAATCCCTGGGAGAAGAAATCAAAATCTATGGTAGATTTCGGTGATGAGGAGTACAAACAGATGCTATGTGTTGATGGGGCAGCAGTTGAGAGATCCATCACCTTAAAGCCTGGAGAAGAATGGATGGGAAGGCTGGAGCTCTCCGTCGTGCCTTCAAGTTTCTGCAGTGATCATTTTGATATTCGGAGGAGAGACTTTTGATGAACAATGATCAAAAGTTTTCAAGAGCAAAAAGATCTCACAATTGGCGCTGGATAAAGTTTTGAAGTAGACGTAGCCAGTTGTTGACTTGTTGAAAGTTGTAGAAACTGAGTGTTTAATTATATATATTTACTCTCCTAAGCCATATCTTGCTGAATAGTTGAAAAAGGAAAAATGCATCATATGCCAACTTAGGAAAAAAAAAACTTCACTTCAATGAAAAGTTAACCTAATGAGCAATTACAAAAAGAGATGGGCTTCAAGATTACCGCGTACGCAGCTGCCCCAATTCAACAAATCCAAACTCCTCTACCCAGTTTTCAATTATCACCAAACAACTTGAAATATTTAGCAAAGAAATATAATAAATTAACTATAATTGGCCACCACTACAGTGACAGTCGAGATACATGTAAAATCCATACTTGAAGAAAACTTTTCTAATTCGAAACTGTAAGACACTAATTTGGAGATTTTACTAAAATTTTTCTGAGCAATCATATCTTTTTAAGCAACACCCATTTTAGAAGTTTAATAGAACCACTTGCACTTGAGCAGAGATGTGGGGATGGGCTGCTCAATGAGAACACTAAAGGTTAAACTGCAAATTTCAGAGCAGAGAGACATTCCGACTGAATACATGAAGAGCTAGTAAGCCTCCCTCTTTTTTTCTTTTCTTGGAAGAAAAAAATTAACCATCACAATGTTACATGAATCTCCTCAATGCTACTAATTTGCAAGAGAGACTCAAAAAAAAAAGGTCTTGCACATGGATTCCACATTTCCAGTGAATGAAGTCAAAGCTGTGGACAGCCGAGCCTTTGATCAAAGAATGGCAGAATCCATGCTTGACAAGCCAAAGATATATGTAACTAAAGAACTGCCAGTTTCGGAAAGATAGCCATTAATAAGTGCCCAAATACAGAAAAAAGTTGAGCTGTCCATCCCTAAGTAAAGATTATAAACCCCGACGATACTCCAGTTGCTTGGTATTCTCTTGCAAAACCTGCCAAGGAAACCCATAAAAAGTTCCAATAGATCGTTGAACATAAAAGAGGGAGACGAGCTTCTGAAACCAGTACACATCAATAAGAGAAGAAATTACTGGCCACAAGAAAGAGAAGCACCTCTCGAATGTAAGTTGCTATGGCTTTGCAGCCTTCTATAGCAAGTTGGAAGACATTTTCAAAGATATCCATTGGCAACTTGGAGTCCATCTGTGTTTAGAGGAACATCAACACAAGTTTGGAGTAAAACTTCAAAACCTTAATATGGAAACACAATCAATCAAATGGTGGGAACAATTGGAAACTAATTAAGGTGAAGAAAGCACAAAACACGGAATTCTCCATTTCAAGAAACTGAGAGATTAGCATCAGGAAATAGAGTTAAATACACATAAAAGAAATGGAAACAATAAGCACAAGCAAAATAATTAGAATCAATTGAACGAAGTGTGTTGAGGTTTAAATTTTTTGACTACCAACCACTTAACTGATTCAACCCTCTGTTTTAACTACAGTTCAGAAATCATGGTTAAAAGCAGTTTAGAATTAGAAGGCAACAAAACTGAAAAGATATGACTTATGTAAGAGAAAATGGTCTCCAACACATTCCAGAAAGGAATACTCTAAAAACCTTTGCACTGGAAAAATCATGTGTGCCTGCATAGCAAGAAGGCAAAAACTATTTCAATTACTGTTGCATACTCATCTTCCCCTCTGCTCCCATCACCGAAAATCCTCCATGCCTATCATGACTTTGAGAAGCAGAGCTATTTAGTTGAGCTTTCCTGTCTTTCTTCAATGATTTCTAACTGCTTGGTTTAGAAATTTAACTGCAACCTTATGATAAGAAAACTTTATAATTTTACTCATAGAAATGTTTCGGTAATTCTGAGATTCTGTTTCTGTATGCCAGAGAAACTTTAATAGACACTAACGCATCATATAAGAACCCTAGGATGAAAACCAACATAACTTGGATGACTTTATAATTTCTAACTGCTTGGTTTAGAAATTTAACTGCAACCTTATGATAAGAAAACTTTATAATTTTACTCATAGAAATGTTTCGGTAATTCTGAGATTCTGTTTCTGTATGCCAGAGAAACTTTAATAGACACTAACGCATCATATAAGAACCCTAGGATGAAAACCAACATAACTTGGATGACTTTATAATTTCTAACTGCTTGGTTTAGAAATTTAACTGCAACCTTATGATAAGAAAACTTTATAATTTTACTCATAGAAATGTTTCGGTAATTCTGAGATTCTGTTTCTGTATGCCAGAGAAACTTTAATAGACACTAACGCATCATATAAGAACCCTAGGATGAAAACCAACATAACTTGGATGACTTTATAATTTCTAACTGCTTGGTTTAGAAATTTAACTGCAACCTTATGATAAGAAAACTTTATAATTTTACTCATAGAAATGTTTCGGTAATTCTGAGATTCTGTTTCTGTATGCCAGAGAAACTTTAATAGACACTAACGCATCATATAAGAACCCTAGGATGAAAACCAACATAACTTGGATGACACAAAAGAAACTGGGAACAAAGAAACTGATTTTCACAAACACCTGAAGAAGAGTCACTTTGTCCAACTTAGGTAGAATTCCTACAGTAACATCAGGGCCTCCACCACCATCTTCAACATAATTCAAATCTGATCACATGGCAAAAGGCAATGAATTAAACTCTTACAAAACAATCTCACAATTAAAAACTAAATGTAAAAGCCCACATAAACATATGTCCGGGAGGAATTCAAATTTTACCAAGTAGGGGAGTACTGTTTAGGTACCCAGCACTACAGGAAGTAACAATATCACGCATTGGAATCCCAGCATCTGCAAGGGCTAATGTTGCAGCATTGATACATGCAGATCTAGTCCCTGCAGGCAATATTCAATAAAAGTATGCATTTGCCCATTAACAAAGCATTCCCCAAAATTGAGTTAGATGATGTATGACAAATTAGGATTAGTTTTCCTACTTCGAAGAGCCTAGATATCACAGTCACACCTAAAAATTCTTAACTGTCAGACTTCAAAGTTTGATTGCCTTATGCAACCCAGAAAGATTGAGAAAATTCTCAATGACTCTTTTTTTAGTAGCTTAACTTTACCAAGAAGATACAAGTCGGGCTCATTCTGCATCACTAGGAAAAGAGCCTCCAAATGTCTAGCATTTACCACCCAAAAGTTAACAAAATTGAAGTAAAGGATGTCCATGGCATCCATTGACTCCATACTTTCCTATCACCAATTTACTAAATACTCTTGGGTTGGAGGAGATGAGAAGAGAAAGGAACAAAATGTCCATGGAGTTGGTCCCTTAGAGACTTTTCTCAAACAGAGAATGGAAGGGCTTCCATGTGCTCTTCCACATGGAAGTAGGAAATCAAATGGTGTGAGAACAAAGACACGGGATACAGAGCAGTTGACTTTGAAGTTACCTCCGTCAGCCTGGAGAACTTGCACAAAGATATCTATCTGCAAAGAACATAGAAAGACCTAAGAAAATAAACAATGCATTAACCGGTAGGTAAAAGATTCTGAGAAGTTTCAACAGAACCTGAGAACGAGGCATTAAATGTGTCAATATGCATGCTTCCATTGTCTGGCGAATAACTAGAGATATTTCAGTCGATCGCCTGAGTGTAACAGGAAAGTGTTCGGTCTATCAGTCCAATTGCGAACAAAGCTTAATCAAGACGCATTCTATAATATACCATTCTAATCAACAGCCTAATTCATTGATTTTTCTTCTAAGATAGCAATTGAATTATCCATTGAATACGAAAATCCCATCTAGTCCGCATCTTCCTTTGCAAACAACGAAACAAAGAAGCACCAGTGTGTTCCAGACCAATTTCCATACATTAGCTCTCCATTCAAATAACACATTTCCCATTGTTATATCCCGTTGTGTTAGTCATGAACATTTAGCATTGCATCATCAAACTAACAAAATTTTTAAAGAGGGAATTTCATAGGTGAGTAAGTATAACCTGTCACCCTTTGGTTTTCTCTTGCGATCTCCTGTACTAAAATTAGCCATACTGTACTCACAGTGTACCTGACAAATGTTTAGGTATATTTCATTAGTGAATCGAATCAGAAAAATTCTAAGGTGATTTTCACCAAGACGTGATCTCTAGTGACCACCATATTCATCGGAACATATAGTTCAAACAGTATTGAGATAAAATAGACCTAGTGCAAAAGATGATACAATTCATGGAACTTGGTCAATAAAACATTGAAAGTAGGCAAGTATACCAGTGCTTGATCACTGATTTGTTGGCTCCTATTTTGGACCTGAAAAACATGAGGATTTTTGAAAAACCAGTCACTGTTATCAATTAAGCAGTTATAATAAACTGATGAAAACAAACACATTAACAAGCAAAGAGAAGGGTACCTCTCTAGGGCCGTATACTGCAGCAATTACTTTGGTGTTCCCCATCTCAAAGAGAGCTGAACTGAAAATTTAACCCAATTAAAATTCAAAACTAATCCTGCTTAAAATATCTGAAAAGAAAAGCAAATTATGATTATGTTCAGGTACCCGTCTGCCTTGGCAACAGCACCAATCTCTGCTCGAAGTTGCCGCATCTTCAGTTTATTAAAGAAATTAAAATAAATTAATAGAAGGAAATAGAGTGATATAGAGGCAGCTGAGGACCAGACGCTGAATAAAGCACAAAATATTTAATTTGGGAATAATAGTCAATAGAACAGGAAAACTTTGTGCGGAAAGAAGAGATAAATTGAGCTTATTTCAAACAAAAAAAAAAAGAAGAGATAATTGAGCTGTATACTTCCATAGGGCGTCGACCATCTAAACGGAGTCCTTCAGGGCTAACATACTCCATCTCTGCAAGCTATTGCATAGCAAGAATTAGGAACTGAAAAAGGGAAGTTGATTTTTAAAAATACTTTTATTTCAAAACTAAATCTAATTAGATAAAAAATTAAAAAAAAAATAGGACAAATTATCAATTTAGACTTGAACTATGAATTATGTTGCAGAACTTTTTTGTAATAACAATTTGATTCCTGAATTCAAAAAGCTTATTTCAAAATGTGATTATTTAATAAATTTTATGCATAAACAACAGAATCCTATTCTCTTGCTTAAATGATGCAAAAAAATGAGTTAAAATTGTAATTTCTAGAGAATTTGCGTGCTTGGAGTCCCTGATAATTAAGTAAACCAAAATTTTAACATGACAGCAATTTTAGAGAGACATGAAAGTGAAAGCCTATCGGGTCACTTTTATAACTGGATAACCAGCACCGAAAATCATCTTTAGTTAGATGTTAGGTGTTTTGATAATTCCTACCTTATTGACTGCAACTTCTGTATTTATTATCGCATTCATTATTGTTCCTCCATTAGATATTCTTCTATTTTAAGTGAATTCTTGGACAAAAAAAATTAAAAATGGTTATTTCAAGAGTCTTTTCCTCACCTAATATCTATAATTGGCATTTTTATAGTTTAAAATAAAACAAATTAAATGTTCTTACGAAGTTTATTGAAGTTAAAATTTAGTTCTTTTGAACTTTCAAATTCTATCAAAAATAAAAATCTGGACAAAACAGAAAGAATTTCTATTATCTTCTGTCAAGATTCTCACAAATTTTATAAAAAATTATGAATCAAAACAATTTTATAAGTTTGAGAATCAAATTGTAGCAAAAATAACTAAAATGGTAATTATCCACAAAATTAATTATCAATTCATTCTTTACAGGCTAATAATCAGTTCATTTTTACAACCTAACAAGCACCTGCTGCACCAAGGAAAAACAATTACTTCCATACACTGATTAAAATAAGAAAAATAGTTCATTGACAACCATGTAATGCACAAAAAGGGCACCAATAATAGTCTGGACAGACAGCAATTCCTTTCCTAATAGCAACTTCCCCATGAGATAACAAGTAGAAATTAGAACTAGGGGCATTCGTCAGTCCAGAGGTAGGATGGACTGGGCTGACTTCTTCAATATCTTTCTGGACTAAAGATTCAGTGGAAGTTCAAGTAGGAGCTGTTCAGTCCGGTTTGATCTGATTTAGGTCCTTAAGGCTTCTTATCCTATTCTGTTTGTTCCGTTCCTAGAAACTGTAAGCAAATTTACAGAAAAATATAGAGTGTTTGACTTAACTTTAAAAAAGAGTTACTACCACAACCATGATGTAGGAGCAAAATTCTTCAAAAATAAAAATTTGCAATAATGCAAAAAGAGTCTCCACTAATCAATTTAAGATGGGATTAGACACGAAGACATGTCTGGTCTAATAAAGAGAAATTAAGCCCGGAAAATGAGACCAAAGGAAAAGGGTGAGTCACCCACCCGGTAATATATTAATTAGTTCTAGCTAAAACAAATATAAAGATCAAGGATCCAAACAAAATAAAACTAAAGATACCTACTTATGAAATAAACCTAAGTGTCCAAAGTGACAGGGAACAGCTCCCAATTTACATTTATTTCACTTCTGAAACAATGATATAACACACTGATTTTCCAGTTTAAATATCCTCTAACAGTCACTATTTACTTTGTTTTCACACAGTAAGCCACATGTTAATCCTCTACTTTAAACCACCAAAAAAACAGAATTCCTAAATATGGAGATCAATACACTAAAAAAACCCAAAACAGTTTAATTTTCCTCATTTATTCATTCTAAAGACAGCAGGCAGAGCATACTAATTATCCACTTTACAACATCAGGCAATCCCTTGAATAGGCAAACTAAACAATATGGGTGAAAGCACACAAAACAGTCCCTGCCTAAATACTCAAAACAAGGTGATTCTCCATTTATCATTTTTCCCAGCAGCAAAAGCATATCCAAAACAGTATTGCATAAAAAAAAATAAAAAACTGACAGATGAAGCGGATGACAGTCTTGAAGTCTTAAAACAGAACTGAGAGTGTCATAAAGAAAGCTTAAGAAAACATGCAAGAAAGTCTTCGTTTCAACTCAAAGCAGTAAAGTAAGCCACCAGACATTTCATTTACCTCACGGATATCACCAAATTAAATCACACTATTCCATACAGTTAAACAAAAATTATGCAACAACGAACTCAAACTCAAACTCAGACAGTTTCAATTCTGCAAACTCCTTCATTCATTCTCCAGTTTCCTTGACGGCATAATATTTTGATAAAACAGACTCAACTCCCTCTACATGTAATTCAGATCATATCATGCCTTCACAAAATTCATTCCCAAGTATGACATTTCAATAGATTCAACTTCTTGCTTTCATCATGCCTACTAAATCATGCCTTCACAAGTTTTATTGAAAATCAATAGAATTAGAAATGCTAGATTTTCAGAAATTACCTAAGGGGTTCAGATTGAAGATCCCCTAGCACCTTCAGCTTGATGGGTCTCTTCCTTCCTTCCTCCCGTTCCTCTTTCTCTCTTTCTCTCTTTTCTCCTTATGTATCAGACTCACCCTCTTTTTCTCACTGTCTTCAGAGTGTATCCTCTGTCCCGTTCTCCTTTCTCAAGTACTCCTTTATGAATGTCCACGAATCGTTTTCTTCTTCTCTCTCTTTATGGCCGAAGAAGGCTTCGAAAATATCTGTGGACCTGCAAACCTTGAAACTCTTCACGGGTCTCCTCGTTTTCAGCCCCTGGTCACCATCCTCACTTGCATTGACCTAAGCTTCCCTGTGTTCCTCTAACAGAACCCCATCATGGAAATGCGAAAACCCTCTTCACGCTTCGTCCTTTGCTCTTTCTTCTTTCAGCTTTCACCCCGTTTGACCTCTGTCTCCAAGTCCTGCCACCCAACTGTCCTGCTCTTCTCTTTCTCACTTTCCACTTCGGCGCAATGGAGACCCAAAACGGAGGTTGTCTGCCAAAACTCCCCTTCTGAAATCCTCAAGCTGCGTTCCTCTGGTCTTTAAAACCTGGAAGAACGAAGCCCAGCCGCGCCTTGCAAGCTCTGTTACGCCAAGCCAGCTTCAACCCTATAATTTCTAGACTTGACGACGTCGTTTAAGTGATTACCGGAAATGACATCGTTCCGGCTTATTCATGGAGTTTTGCATTTCCTTGGCGATTACAATAGATCTACAAGTCAGGCTTCCTGCAAGCTTACATGGGCGGGGCTAGTTGGGTTTGTGTGTGTGGGCTTTAATCCACTGGGTCCACTGATTTGGGCTTTTCATTCCATTTAAACAGAACTCGGATTCCCTCCTCTCTTTTTTTTTTTTTTTTTCTTTTATTCATTTTCCATTTTTTTACCCCTTATTTCTTCTCCTTTTTTTCTTTTTAATTTTTTTTTTATGATCCTTTTTTTTAAAAAAAAAAATTCTCAGTTCCTCTTTCTCAATCTTTTTCTCTCTTTTTTTCCTTAGTAGTGATAAAAATTAGTAATTAAAGAAATAATAATAATAATAATTACAAATAAATTAACCATTTTCATGTTTTGTTGCTCGTTTATTTATTTATTTATTATTATTATCATATCTAAAAAGCCTATACATTATTAGAGTTTTGATATCATGCAGAAAGGAAGAACAACCTTTCTGCATTTTGAATAGCTAAATACAGCCATTACATACATATATTACAATTACTTCCTTTTTTTTAGAGAAAAATTTCATAATTAATTTAAAATAAATAGAGAATCATAAATAAAATGTGATAAACGTCAAATATAACAAAATCAATAATTGGAGACCGAAAATATTTTTATAATAGTGAACTAAATGCTGAAGATATTTCAACGTTAATGTAACGGTTCTACCATGCCAAAACAAGTTCGATATACTAAAATGACGATGTAGAACCAACTGAGGACGCCTTTGGGATATGATGTGGATGATAACAGAGTGTGGACTTGGAATCAAATCTTAAAAAATTTCTCATTTTTTTGGGTAGAATAATTAACGAGTTAGAAAGAAAAAAGAAGAAGAAAAACAAACTGTTATGTTAAGCATAGACGCAGACATCCCATTTAACTTGTGGTTATCGTTTGACATAAGCACGTCAAAAATTACGTACTCAAGAAATTATCACCAAAACTATAAATTTTATTTACATTTATCATACCGAAACGTGAAGAATTGTGCAAAAGGGGTAACTCACTTCAATGAGGTCCAATACCCCTTTATATGCAAATGAACCATAAAAGGATTTAAGAAAATTTTACCTAAAATGACTTTTTAAGATTTTTTTTTTTTAAAAAAAAAAATAGCAATACTGGAGATGAATAAAATTTATGACACGAGAGAAATAGATTAAAAAGTTATAATAATACATAATAACGGAGCAGACCAAGTTGGTGGGAATGGAGAACGACGTGTCTCCCGTCCAAAATCATGCACTTCTCCACGTTAAAAGTTATAACTCCTTTTTTTTGCTTCCATTCTCCATCAACTTTCTTAGTTTTTCTATATTTTTTCACAAATTCGCAGTGCGGCTCACGGCCCAACTTATTTGACTAATCATGCTATATATATATATATATATGATTATATATCTTACAATTGTAATGTATAGAATCTAGCTATATCAATCATAATGTAATAATAGTTTTACTTTTACTTTTAAACTACAAATCTTTCCATTCATCAATAATAATGCATAAACACTAATTTATAAATAATAAAAAATAGTTTCCCAATATTAACAGACAAAAGACAAAATTTGTCTGATAAATTACTGAATGAAAGTGGTGATTGGTAGTATAAGATTAACTAAAGTTAATCAAAACATTTTTCCATACTAATGATAAATTATTTATGACGTCAAATAAGTTCTATTGGATTTGCACTATTTGTGTCTTTGTTTGGAAGCAAAGCTTGCATGTGACATCCGATTTTAGCTTCAAATTTAATAATTTCTGATCGTATATATATATATATATACATACATAATGTGTGATTAACACGTGACATCCTAACAGAGGTGGGGATTTGATTGAGAGAGGCACTAACGCTCCTGAATCCGATGATCATGATTGTTTGAATAACATTCGTAGCATGCTGCCGCCGTGTCCCTATGCAATTAATTTGCCCTCCTCATATATTTATATAATCACTAACCAGAACAATAGCCAATTAATTAATCCCTTTCATTCAACGTGTGGATCAGTGAATATATATATATATATATATATATGGGGTACCTGTATATTACAACTTTTAAATTTCAAGCGGTAATATCAATACACATCATCCCTTGATTGAACGGGTTGGAATTTTAAATTATATTTTTCTTTTTCATAAGACAACTTATCAACTAAAAGAAAATTGGAAATTGTGCACGGTTCAATTATTTATCTTGGATATTTGTTTTCATATACTTGATGGAAAAGCATCATGTAAAATTGCATATATAGATTATATATTATTATCTTAATTTTTTTTTTTAAATATGATATGAGCATCATTTAGTAAAATTCTACCACAAATTTTTTTTTGGAAACCCTCATGTTTTTGCATAAATAGTTATATCTAAAATTATTATTAAATGTTTAGTTTGTATTCTCCATATATCCAACTTAAACACTTAATTATGTTAAAAAAGACTTAAATATTTAATTATAAATAAATTATTTACATCAAAACAACTATATATTTTTTTATTAAATGTATAATTTAAGTTAGTTATTACTCATTCAACAATATGTTCATTGCTAAATACGTTCACGAGTGAATGGATTTTGAATCAATTATTTAACCCTGGATGGACCATTGAATCTCAACTTTGTCCAATTTCACCTCCCCCATCTTAGAGACCCCTATCTCACATGTATTAAAAGTCTTATTCGTAACCAACTAGTATATGGAATCTCCTTATCTTATTTCAGCAATGTTATCTATATCTTGTTATCCTTAGCAAAGAATTATTTATTTTCCCACAACTTAATGCATTGGACCTTTGGAAATAGAAGTATGTTTCCAACACTAATACACTACAAATTCTAAATATTGCTTGAGTTAATTTTGTTTCATATTATCATATTCCCTTGATCTCTTTAAACACTATACACTCTTATGAAAATCTTAAATAATATCTCGGTATAAGCTCATCTAGTGACAAGTCCTCCATAAAATCCTACTCAGTACGTCACACACTAACCTTCATCCTATATCTTGAATTGCATATTAAGTGGCTAACTGGGAACTGATTCTATACAACATAAACTTTTAAAATGCCCCTTAGAGAGACCATTATAATATGTCTCCGTATAGGGTATCAGAATAATAAATTAACAATATGAATAAGACAAAGCTGGCAGGTGATTGTTACGTGAAAAATAAAAAGAAGTTGATGAAGATTTGAATAAGAAAACTCAATATTCTTAAGAGAAAGAGTCGAACACTTAAGAGGAGATATTAAAGAAAAAAAATGAATTGTAGGTTCTAAAGAAAAAAAAAGGAAAGGGCACAAAGAGGATGATTTAAAAACATAAGCGAGAGAGAGAGAGAGAGAGAGAGAGAGAGAGAGAGAGAGAAAGAGAGAGAGAGAGAGAAAGAAAGAAAGTAAGAAAAGGGAGATAAGTAAGTGCTTAAGAGAAAAGAAATTAAGGGTTTTTTGGGAGGGAAAAATCAAGATGGAAAGAGGGGCAAAAAAAGGAGA